TTTCAAGAATACCTCTTTCTTCCTGATAAACATGTTTATTATTGGTGCTGTAAATACCCTTTACAGGAACCAGAACATTTTTTTGGAATATGTATACAGCCATTATCGGATATCTACTTCACATCCTAATATGTTTCGCTGACTCCATAAACGATGTTGAACCATTCAGATTATTGTATGAGATAAATCTATCACCAAAACTGCACAGCTAGCCACCTATAAAATTCAGCTACTTTACATTTTCTTTTATCAAAAACATTATTGTACAATTCTGTTTGAACACATAGTTGACGTCACCTTTGGCATCCAATTTTTACACAAGATTGCTTTGCAGAGATGTGATATTACTTCACACAGAAATTTGCGGATGCTACTACCAGCACACCACATATATTAGGCAATTTATAATACAGGTTTTTTTGGGGTTAGATGACTTAAATATATAAATGTATCGTTAAACCCGCCACCTACCGACACAGTCAATTAGTAAGGTTTGTCATGCAAACAGAACATGCCAATTCGTTACGGGTACAGCACACCAGTGTGTTGTAGAGCAAAGCTGCAACATTTACAATCTGACTACGACGTTTTGCCAGTAATTACAACTATTTTAATCAGGCAACAGCCAGATTGGTGGATACATTATCCTGTTTCGTTCCTTATATAGAGGGGTAGATGTCATGACATCAATTGTGAGCACTTCTTGAGCAATGTGGGGGGGGGGGGGTATTAATGAATGCATATAAATGACAATGCATGCCCATTGTCATGTGTACACTTAAATAGCTGTACCAACGGTAACACCTATTGAAGTATAATGACCTGTTTAAGGTATGCATTTAAACGATGTATTTTTTAATGATTCGCTTCCAAGCATCACTAAGTCTGTAGCTATCCGAACGGTTACGATTATTTTTATTTCTCTCAATTTCGATAGATTATCTAATTAGTCTAGGCCATTAGTAACTAGTTTTGCAGAGAAATTCAACATTATTAAAATCAATTGAGCGCGTCTGTTGGAACGCGTGTTCTGCCACTGCTGACAGTTGTGTAGAGGAGTAAAATGGGGCCGTGACGTCATGTGTGTCGTCCAGTGCGATGACGTCACGGAACGTGGCGTCATGCGCGCTGGGCAGCTCGATGACGTCATGTCTCTAGTATTTAAGGGGGACCCCGTGACGACAGCGGGGTCACCGTGGGAACGGGTAGAGGGAACCAGGGGTAGAGAGGGATCGACGAAGAGTCAGGAGTGAAGCTGGTGGTAGCCGTAGGAGGTGCTGCTCTTCCCGGTCGGTGGGGTTGGCTAGTGCCCCCATCCGCCTCGAGGGAGAGAGACCGGAGCTAGCCGGGCTGGACCAGGACTTAGTGTAGGACCCCTAACCCCTGGGAAGTTGTCACACCCTTTGTGTTATTGTAATATACTATAATAAACCTTTGGCGAAAGTCCTTGCCTTCAAACCGTCTCCAAGTCGTCGTCGGGAACTCCTCAACAGTTGTATTTGGGATAATTTAATATTTATTTGGTGTTCTTTTAGGCTCGTGCTGATCATTAGTCCTGTTTGCCCAAAATAGCATTTGCCACAGGTGCACTTAATCTGGTACACACCTTCTATTGATAGCTTCAGTAATACATCTTTTGTACCATATATGAATTTCTGTATTTTATGTACCATGCCAAATCTGACTCGGATCTGTTGTTTTTCCAAACATCTAGCTAGTTTATCAGTTACTCCCGCAATGTACAGTATTTTAATAATTGTAATTACTTGGTCAGTTTCAACAGTCGTGTTATTTGATTTGGTTTTGGCATTCAATGTCCTGTTGATTTGTGCATTAATTGTAACCGTTCAATTGCAGCCCTTCTTTAACATGTTTAATATCACTTCTCAGACTATCACCATCTGACACTTTCTAAACCAGATGTATAAGCGTCTTGATGAGAGATTATTTCTGTGTGGGGTGATGGTGTGACTGCATTCAGATAGGCGTCAGTGTGAGTTTTCTTTCGGTAAACGCTGTGTTATTTTACCATTTCTACCCGTCCGAGCAGAATATCCAGAAATGGTAAGAGTTCTGTCAGCTTCCACTTCCATGGTGAACTGAATGGATTGGTTTTCCGCGTTGAGATTATTTAGAAATTTGTTAAGTGTATCTTTGCCATGTGGCCAGATCATTGATGTGTCATATTTTTATATTTACGCAATCTAACCTGAAAAAAAAACCTGTATTATGGATGATATTTGTCACAAAAGCCGATGTGATAACTTAAGCAATTTGTTTTTTCTTTTTAGATTATTATGAACAAAGTCAGGTGAGATAACCTCATGTATACCGAAGTGCTTAGATGGATTGCAAACTACTTGGACAGGTCCAAATTTTAGAGTTACAAGGAAAAAAAAATGAACTGGCAGGAAGCATCGTCTACATTCTATGGTAGTGCACCCACCTCATCTATTGCCCTGTGCCGTGTCCATCCTGCTTAGGAAGATATATTGTAAGTCCCCAGAAGTCCTCACTTTTGCCATCGTCCTACCTGCAAAATATAGTTATGGTACTGGGTATTCAAGATCCCGAGTGAACAAGTACTAACAGACGCTGGTGAACTGCTCACAGCTTGTGACTATGAGGGGGGGATAGAGCTCTTCTTGTAGCAGAATAATGCCCAGCACCTCAGAGTGACGCTTCACTTGGTTGACACCATTCGGGACCCATTAAAAAGGGGATAACAGGGCAGTATAAACAGCCTAGACATTGCATTGGTTACGTGCAAAACGTATTGTGTCACACATGTATAGAGATGTGCAGATGTTTAGAAAACCGCTGAAGATTTTTAGCATCAATTGCCCCCTAACTATACCAATAGTTTTACTAAATACACCAAACATTTTCACCGATGCAAAATATTGTGATATGTTGGGCCTGCCATGGGAAACAACGGAGGAAAATAATGTTGCGTAGCTTTTTCTAAGTGGGTTGAAGTATAGCCATTCACAGACATGACGCCAGAAACGGCAACCTTCTTTTTAGAGAACTACATTGGTCAATGTGTTTGTCCACTCATTTAAATTGGCCCTAGTTTTAAAACCGTTACACTAATTTTGTTTCAAGAATATTACAAAACATAACTAATGGTGAAACAGTTCAATAAACTATCATATTGAGATGTGTCAAACAAAACGACGGGGTTTGCCATGCAATATTTTTTTTTACCCAAGGGAATTGGTAATTGGATAAATGCAGGTGGAAATGTGTCAAGAATATCTACATGTCCACTGAGGACCTAAACGACACTATCAAATCACAATAAGAATATTTATTAAGCCTGCAGGAGGAATCTGATGAGCTATAAAGCTCAGTAGGGGCAACGGGTAAGAACACTACAACAACAATCAATATACAAACACGACAGTAGTGCACAGTACAAGAAAGGTAAACAAATGACCCAAACATACAAATAAAACTAAACCATCCCCATCGTACCAGACAAGCCCATCGAGGTATGGATAACCTTGTTGTTCAAAAGCAACCTGGCCACAATTGATAGCTTAACAAAGTGACCCATTATTTGGACATTCCTAGTAGCAGAACAAATTAAATAGTCTAAATGCACGTTTCTAAATCTGAAGGGATAAACCGGAGGACCCAGAGAAAAAAAAATCCACGCGACCATGGGGAGAACACGCAAACTCCAAATATACAGCAGGTGTCAGGGCTGGGATAGAACCCCTGACCTCTTGCATACCAGGCGAGGAAGATAACATCTCACCAACTGTGGTTCCCCTTAAATAAATAAAGTATATAAGTTGAAACTGCATCATCAATTCCAAAGCATTGAAAACAAATATTGCGGACCGATTCATATGGTTGTAAGGTGACAAAGCCTATTTGTCCGAGTCAGTAATTAAGATTGGGTTTGGCAACCTCCAATTGATTTTGGGATTGTTATTTTAGATATGAATATGCCGAATCAAGTTGACGCAAAGCACAACCCTTCCATGCAAAACTATTCTTCTGAATAAAGTAACAACCAGCACCAGACTGAGACTAATAGTACAAAATACATCACTCCCAAGCATACACGATACCATGACCATTGAGTGAGCCTGAACACCAACAACCAGTCAACCATGAGACAACATGGCAGTACACAGTCGAAAAACACAAAACTAATGCAAAGCACTATGACTTGACAGATTAGATATGTTCTATGCCTGCGATTCAAGCAAGTACTCCAAAACCTAGGGAATGGGAGGAATATGGAGATTGGAGGCAGATATGTTATGATTGTGTCAGCGATAATCATAAGGGGGTACTGGGCAGATATAATTTACTGTATACTTGGTCACATGATCATCATTAATCGTGTTTTCCTGTGTGACAAAACTATTACGATTTAATTTTTTTCAGGTAAGGCCCACTGAGCTATGAAGCTTTTTGAGAAACAACCTGGCCATAAATGATAGCTCAACGAAGTGTTTTATCATGTGGAAATGTATAGCGGCCAAATACTCGTTTCTAAATGTGGAGGGAAAAACCGGAGGACCGGAGAAAATTCCACGTGACCATGGGGAGAGAGAGACATTCAAACTCCAAATATACAGCAGGCTTCTGGGTCGGGATTGAACCCATGGCCTCCTGTATATCTGGCAAGGGAGAAAACATATCCTAGCCACTGCGGCACCAATAATCTGGGGGTATAATTTACTTCGGTGCTCGCAAAATTAAATCAGAATTAGGTCAGAGAAGATAATGTAGGAGGGAGAGTCAGGTAATAATAACGTGATGTGTTATTCAGGGTATGGTGCTAGGGAAGAGTAATTGTTTTTTTGTATGGAGGAGAGGAACAAGCAGATGCAGGCATGAGCTATTGGTGAGTTAGTAATCACTGTTTTGATGTCGTAATTTGGTAATACCATCAAACATCCCAATGCAGGACACTGGTGAAAAATGGTTTGAGAGTGTACCGGATATTTATAATACTTAATTATTATGTTAATAAGTATGGTGTTTATTTCGTGCTTGCAGATATGTAGTGGGTTTTGAACATGCTTATCGAGAGTATGAGGATGTGACCAGCGCTGTTCGTGTGAAAGTGAAAGGCACGGCTAAAGTCGATATCCCCAATGAGGGAGTGAGAACGTTCGACTCGGCCGACTACGTCGTGCCTGACCAGGTATGTATTATTTTTTTATTTAGCTTTTCCATTTACAGTATATTCAATCTGTGATTTTCTATATTGGCATGTTATGTAACCCCAACACCTTGAGCATTGTCACAGAAAGCAGTGTGACATCATTCCATGTTTGAGAATGGCCTATGGAAGGGGGCATTGCACAAGTACATCTGAGCCCGTAATCGACACTGTGGCGCATCTATTTATAGCTTCTGCAACGAGTTATTCACATAGCAAAACAACCGAATATGTCATTCTCAGAGCTGAATTTGTCGAAAATATTTTTTATCCAAATACAATTATGGCTTTTGCGCAGTTATTAGTGACTGAACTCATACCAATCTGATGGCTTAATCACAAGGATTTGAACCACAGGTCTCAGTGGTTCCAACAGAGATTGTATACACGCCAGATTAACATTTTCTAAGTGACAAAAAACTATTTTGTTACGTAAAATAGTAATATATAATTTCAAGTAACGGCACAAATTAATAACATCAGTAATTTTTAAATGATGATTGCTAAGTGCAGTCCCATAGCCTCAAAGTACCAAGGCGCCAGCAGCAAGCAATATTATTGGAGGTATCGTAGATATGAGTTCAGTCGCTAATGCAAGTGAGCAAGGCGAAAAGAGCTTGGGGAATATAGATGGGAGAAGGTTTTAAAGTTCAGACGTGCGAGGGGGGAAGAAGAAGAAGCCTTGCGGTTTAGTGTTCCACAGGATTCCAACATAGCCTTGAGCAGCCCCTACACAAAACAACAGATGGAAGCATGGAGACAAAGTGGGAATGCATCAGAGACGCCATCTTCAATTCAGCCATCAACACCTTTGGAAAAGCAGACAAAGACAGAACACAGACTGGTTTGAGGAACACCTGACTGTATTGGAACTCATCCTCCAAGCCAAGTGCACGGCACTCCTGAAGAACAAGCAAACCCCAAGTGCAGAATAATGAAGCACTCTGAAAGCTGCCCGCAGTGCAGCTCAAACGACCCCCAGACGCTGTGCCAACTACTGGCTGAACCTCAGCAGTAGGATCCAACTCGCCTTTATCCGTGCCATGTATGAAGGCTTCAAGACAGCTTTTGGTCCAAACATCAGGAGGACTGCCTCCCTGAAATCCAGCACAGGGGCCACCATCACTGATAAACACGAGCAAATGGCCAGATGGGTCGAACACTACTCAGAGCTCTACTGACGAGGCAACAGTGTGCCAGAGGCTGCCCTTGCTGCTGTAAAGCCCCGACCAAACCATGCACGAACTGGACAACGTTCCAACCTTGAAGGAACTTGACAACTCCGTCAACTCACAAGCCAGCAGCTAGTCCACGGGACAGGACGTCATCACAACTGATGTACTGAAACATGCGAAATCTGCCATCCTCATAAAACTCCACAAACGTCCCTGCCAGTGCTGGAAAGAAGGTGAAGTGCCTCAAGGCATGAGAGACTCCAACATCTTCACCCGATACAAAAATCAGGGTGAGAATGGGGGCTGGAATAACTACCGCGGCATCTCCCTATTGAGCATCGGGGGACAAACCTTTGCCCATGTGGTCCTCAGAAGGTTGCAGATACTAGCTGAGAAGACGTATCCTGAGGCACAGTGTGACTTCAGAGCAGGAAGGTCCACCATCGTCATGCTCTCCTCCTTGCATCAGCAACAGGATAAGTGTCGTGAACAGAGAATTCCCCTGCATTTATCGATCTAACAAAGGCCTTTGACCTCATCAGCAAACTCCTGAAAGTGATCATCTGCCCACGCAAGCTGCTGGCAGTCATCTACTCTTTCCATGACCACATGAAAGGAACGATACAGCACAGCGGCACGACCTCAGAGGCATTTCCTGTGCTCAGCACTGTAAAGCAGGGGTTCGTGCTTGCCCCTACACTGTTTGCCATATTTTCCTCACTTCTGCTCACACAGGGAGTCTTTCTCCATACAAGATCTGATAGCAAACTCTTCAACCTTTTCCGCGTCAGATCCAAAGCCAAAGTCCGAAAAGTCCTCATCAGAGAACTCATATTCGCTGATGATGCCGCACTGACAGCTCACACAAAACAAGGTCTGCAGACACTCATCAACCAGCTTGTCAATGCCTGCAACAACCTTGGCCTGACAATCAGCGTGAAAAATACCAATGTCATGGGCCTGGATGTCAGAGACACCCCATCCATAAACATTGGAAGCTAAATCTTGAGTTAAAGCTTTTGTGACTGCAGGAATTCATATTCTTTGGGACTTTCGGTAAAGTCACGTAGATACTGTAGGTTCAAAGAAAAAAATGCCGTTTCGATCGCAACACAAGCAGTCATTTGTTTCGATCACAACACAAGCAGTCGCTTGTATTGCGATGGAAACGTAGTTTTTTTAATATTTTCTTTAAACCTATCTGGACGTTACAAATAAAACATTCCAACACCTCGGCTGTTAATTAAGACAATAAATAATCTACAAAATGTATGTTTGTCCCCAAGGCATGTATTTCATACATATTCTTGCATTTATTCACGCTTGTTCTTCAATTTACGTGACTAAGTTAAGTCTGGAATAGATTGGTGCTATCTGTTTTTCCTCTGTTTCTAGCAGCTTGTTTGCTCATGATAATTTACTGGCAGGTGAGGCAAGTACTGGTGGTTCTGTATTTCGGTTCAGTAAAGATATCTAAAGTGCTAACTTTACCCTCAATTTATTGTTAATGTACCTGTTAAGATTATTAGTTAAGGCCAGGTACTACAGGCAAAAATATAATTTTTGTTCAGATTGTCAATTTTGATATATTTTTGATATTTGCTTCTATAAATTGTAAACTTTCATAACATGCACACAATTATTACCAAAAACTGTTATTGATAATGCACACAATAACTTTATTGGTAGTAACTTGGGCTCCACCATCACCTGCAACTTTTTACCGTGTCACAGAGATTGACAAGCACATTGAGAAGACGTCTACAGCTATGTTCAGATTGACAAAAATAGCATGGGAGAACAAATCCCTAACTCTCAACACCAAAGTACAGGTGTACCAGGCCTGTGTCCTCCTCAGCATCTTCCTCTATGGGTCTTAGTCCTAGACAACATATGCCTGTCAAGAACATCGACTAAACACATTCCACCACTGCTGTCTCAGGCGCATCCTCGGTGTCAGATGGCAAGACTGCATTCCCAACACCTCAGTCCTCAACATGGCCAAGATTCCCAGCATGTACTGTCTACTCAGTCAAAGGCGCCTGAGATGGCATGGACACGTGCACTGCATGCAAGATGGCAGAATACACAAGGATGTCTTGTACGGCGAGCTGGCATCAGGCACACGACCCACTGGTTTCCCAGTCCTGTGCTTCAAAGATGTCTGCAAAAGACACTGCATGGCAGACCAACAGAGAGTTACGTAAATATACGTAAAGCAACGACCATTTCTAGAGCTGCCACCGCATTCACTTGCAATGGTTGTGGTAAGGATTCCCACTCAAGAATTGGCCTACTAAGTAATTCTAGGCACTACAAATCCCACAGCTGACCTCGTAAGGCACGAAATAATTGTCTCCCGAGACACACAAGCCTCATCAACAGGCATATGCCTAAATGTCACTGGTGTCATTTGTTCACATTGATGGAGAAGTGATGTCATTGTATTGTGACTGCTGTACTTTTTAAAGCATCACTGAGTGTCGTGTCTGATGCTCAGAAATATATTTTTTTACACGTGTTTTTTTCTCATTAATCAAGCTTAACTTCTATAAAACATCCTGGGAGGCACAATCTCGGTACATAGTTACAAAAATAAGAGCTACTGTTTGAATATTTGTCCTTTAAGTGTAAGAGTGCACTTTAATTAATACGTTTTGTGGTCACTGTGAAGTAAGGATGACGCCATCTCTATTAATGTTTGCCTCGTCACATGTCCTGTAGGAGCCCAATACGTTTTTTGTGATGACAAACTTCATTGTCACCAAGAACCAGACACAAGGGAAGTGTGCAGAGGTAAGCGATCACTCACACTGTGTGTCCCTATGTGCTGTACTCTTTCTGTGAACCCCCCCTTCCTCCAAATTATTATTGAGCAACACATATTGGGATAATTATCAACAGCGTGAGGATAGATTAAGTGGAAATTAAGTAATAATTGAAAGCAGTTTTGTGTGTAACAAGATGAATGGGGTGGAACTAAATAAAATCCAGCAATCCCTTGCCAACCGCGGGGGTTAGATTCCTGGAAAAGGCCATGGTAGGCAAATCCGTGGTTGGTACGGGGGTCCTAGAGGAAATAAGGGGTTATGGGAACCACGGGCATGGTCAGACTCAGCATAGCTTAATTAAGTTGCCTGTTTATTAACTAAACACCGAAAAAATGCAGTACTTACACAGTGACAAAAATATAACAAGTAAAAATTACATTACCTTTACATACCTGTGTAGTGGAGTATGAAGGTGTGTTGTGGAAACTGCGCGATTGCATGATCACACGGACAGTGTGGGTTTATCTGGGGTCAGCCTATGGAGAAAGCGTAAACAGTGTGGGTCGTCTTAGGACAGCCAGGTGCAAAGGCTGAAATGATGAGGTAACGGTTGGGCCAATTAAGACAGAGGATCAGCAACGGCGGTGATTGGCTGTGGCTGTTGTTAAGGGCGAGGAGGCGTCGGGAGTAGAAACAGAGTTCGGGACAGAGTTGGAGACAGAGTGAGAAACGGAGTTGGAGTAGCGTTAGCGGAGCTGAAGCAAGACGAAGTAGTTAGCAATGGAGAGAGCGTAGCGATAGCGGAGCGAAGACGCTGTGTGCGAGTTGCTGAACGGAGACCCGCTGTGTGCGGAGGAGCTGAGGAGAATAGTTAACAGTGGACAGAGCGTAGCGGAGCGAAGATGCTGTGTGCGAGTTGCTGAACGGAGACTCGCTGTGTGCGAAAACGCTGTGTGCGGAGGAGCTGTGGAGAATATCCAGCAGTGGAGAGAGCCTAGCAATAGCAGAGCTGAAGACGCTGTGTGCGGAGCTGCTGAACGGGGACTCGCTGTGTGCGAAGACGCTGTGTGCGGAGAAGTGAAGTGATAGTGGGGAGACAAAGGTGGTGAGCGAGACGGGCGGAGCACGGCGAGCGAGCCGTTGTGACCAGGATACTGTGGAGTGTGGAGGACATGTTGAATGATGTAAATAAAGTGGTGTTTGAAGAAAGACAGAAGTTGTCCGCGTAAAGTGCATAGCTCCAGTAGCTTCCTAATATCGGAAGGAAGTGTTTCAGATGCCCGCATAAGCGCATCTGAAAGCGTGCGATGCAGTGACTGTATTTGTTGGATGGCCAATCAAAAGTCGCTGCTGCGGGTATGACCGGAGGTCATGTGATGGTTTATGCTCCTTGACGAGATCAGCAAGAAAAAGTGGTTAATTTGTAACAAGCACGATGTGTGTAATGAGTGCTCTTATAATGTATTCGTTCGGCAACCAGAAGCCAATGCAAATCAGCGAATACTGGACGGACATGGTCGGATCTTGCAGTGCCCGTCATGACATGTGCCAAATAATTATGTACACCCCAAATAAAGGTTTTTGTGTTAGATCGTGTAAATATAAGTGCGTCATTAAACCCACCACCGCCTGGCACAGCTAATTAGTATGGGCTGTCATGCAAACAAAACGTGGTAATTATTGACTAGATCAGCACACAGGTGTGTTGGAGAGTAAACCCACAACCATCTACAATTCAAGTATATCGTTTCGCTGGTGATTATAATCAGGTTCATCAAGCGATAGCCAGAATTGTGAGGAATTCCTCCTGTTTTGGTCTGAAATAGAGTGAAGGTGACGTCATCACTGTGGGCCTTTCGGGTGAAAAAATCTGACGAGGGGTAAATGTCGTCATATCCGTTACAAGGGATCATGTTAATCTGAAAATATACCATACGTATTATTGGTTGGGTTATTCATAATTATAACCGTATAACCGTATTTATTTTAAATGTAATATGACCTCCACTTAATGGGTATCTAAATATCGTACACTAAAGTAAAAATGCAAAAACAATGAAATCATATTTAAGTAACAGCCATGAGAAAATGTTAACTCTTGCACTCCCTCCTAAACATACTGAGGCTCGTAGCATGTCAGATCACCACTGGCAAGGCATTCCAGATTCTTGGGGCAACACTTGAGAATGCCAGACCCCCCTGCGTTGAGCGCAAGAACCAAGGCTGGGAGAGTAGGTCATGCTCTCAAGAACATAGTGTATCAACCCCAGTCCTATGACTGATCAGTCGGGCCCGCAGGTACATTGGTCCAAGACCATGCAGCGCTTTATAGACCAGCATAGCTAACTTATTCTGGATGCGAAGGCTTACTTGAAGCTAATGCAGATCATGGATAATGGGAGTAATGTGCTCGAAACAGGCGACATGCCTCAGAATTTGGGCTGCCACATTTTTCACTAACTGAAACCGCCTCAACAAGACACGTGGAAGCCCTGCGTAAAAGACGAGTCGATACAAATGCATGAGATAATGACTTAAGGACACAAGCTGAAATGAAAGGTAACAAACCACGGCGTTGGCAGAGTTTAAATAAACCAGACTTGACCACAGTCACCACCTGCGCATACATGTGTAGTGTTGTAAGGACGAGCAGACTTATTTAGGAGGCACACTCTGTTTATTGTATTATTTCCTTATACAACGCTTAACACACACAGAGGGATATTCGGCCCCCTCACCCGATACCCTAGGGAGGTACAGCCTCCGGACCTGGCGGGACTCACACGTCTACCGCTATCCTAGTCCTCCGGCTAGGACCTAGGGGAGGCTATCTGACCCACCGCTGGCCCGGTGGGTCCTGACCACTGGGTATGCCGAGCCTTAGCCCTTAGAAGGGCTGAAAGGCTGGTCCAGGGTCCTAGCTAGGCTTCAGCCCAGTCTTCTATCTTCGTGCAGGGAGAGAACTCCCCGAGGTCCGTTGGGTCACCCGTCTTATACCCCTTCGTGGCCAGGGAGAACCAATCATACATTCCCACGTGGAACCGTCTGATTGATTTGCACCAAACCCTGGCCACGATCCGTTTCACCTCGGCTGACCCCAACCGTTGTACCCAGGGGTAATGCTGCACTGCCCTGGTGGCAATGCAGGTTACACAACAGCGCGTAGTTAACACCTCTACACATGTTTAGGCTGCGATCAAATAGAACGCCTAGGCTGCGTATTTTGGCAAGGGGTGACACTGATCCCAGTTAATAAGTGGAGTTCGATCTTGCACTGGCCCACCCTGAATCGAGCATCAGAGGCAACGATCATTACCTTGGTCTTGTCTGGACTTAGCCAATTTTGTTCTAGCCATGTTGCTACCTCGGACAGACATTTTGACAATGCAGAGACATGCAACGCAGGTTTACACATAAGCAAGACATATCTGCATGTCATCGGCATACTGGTGACAACATAGGTCATGCCTCTAGATAATATCCACCAGGGGCTGAACATACACGTTGAAAAGCAGTAAACAGGACGGACCCTTCAGGTAATACATGGGCACCCATGGACAGTCATTAGGATCTACCTGACAAGAAATAGGCAATCCAATTCAAGGTGGTTCCACCAATTCCTGCCATAGTTCTCAGGCACTGTAGCAGAACTGCACGGTCAACTGTGTCGAAAACCACTGAGAGATCAAGCAAGACAAGGGCAGATATCTGTCCCCTATCCATGGACTGAAGAAGGTCATCATCCACACAAATTAGTGTCGTCTCTGTGCTGTGACTAGCTCGAAAGCCAGACTGGGTAATATCATAAAAATGACCAGACTCAAGCCAATGTTCCAACTGGGTTGAGACCACCTTCTCCAACAACTTCCCAAGAAATCAGAGGTTAGATATTGGGCCAAAGTTTGCTAATACATCAACATCCAGTCCTGACTTCCTCAGAAGTGGTCACATCAGGGCCTTTTTAAAGGACACGGGGACCTCGCCGTTCGAAAAGGAGGAATTGATTGATGTAAGCATTGGGACTGCTGTCTCCAATGACGCGTTTAGGAGCCACGAAGCGCAGGGATCCTAATCGCAGGCGGTCAAATTCAACCTAGAAGCAAGTTCCAAGAGGGCTGAGGAAGAAATTGGGGCAAAGCTATCCAGAACTAAAGGAGTCTTTGCTGTGAGGCTGACCATGGGACAATTTCATATTGTTGGCGTCATAAGTTCTGCACCTGTCACCTGTAGCATAAATATAACTCTTAAACATGTCTTTCTACATGTCAGCAAAAACGGCGTTTGGGACAGCACTCTTAGAAAAAAAATACTTTGTAAAACTATTATTATTATTGCCGCTCCTACCCCATTATCGTTTTATCTTTGTCTTTTAGCTTCACATTTCAATTACGTAATGAAACTACCCATTATCGTTTGAAAGTCTCCGTCTAGTTTTCGAGTTGTACATTATGCAGAGTTCTGTCGTTATTTTTAGATTAATCACAGAACAGCTGAGGGATCTTCACTGAATGCGACCACAGCCTGCGTGGGTCACATTGCAGCCTGCCTGAAGCTGCTGCTCCCTGGGCTTGTCAGATATGGACAGCTGCCTGATCAGCGGCAGATTGTATTGCGGATGAGATCAATCTTAGCGGAAAAAAAAACTGATGGAATTCTCTACATCGCTCAATAGGAATAATCCTGATGGTCGTAATAATCCTGATGGTTTTCTGTACCTGGGGAGCGGTCTACGAAAGGTGATGCGCTGAATCATCTGAATGGCGCCCACTCAATAGAACCACGACCAGAGCCCCTATGGACATACTTGAGTCTGCGTAAGAGACCAAGTTTGCTAATAGCATTGGTAGTTTGAAAGGGGATGCTGCTGACAAAGGTACTAAATGTCAAACTTAATAAAAGCAGAGATAAGTCTGTTAACTATGACAATAACAATATCAAATAAAGTACAAGAATGGCAGACTATGAGCCTGTGTTAATAAAGAATTAAAGCTTTCGTGACTGCATAAATTACTCATTGGTTTTTTC